ATGATATGCTTATTTTTTCTTTCTTATCATAGTTTCTTCATGTAAAATATAATATTGATCAAATTGTTGTAAAAAAAAATTACTTGTCACTTTTTAATTATATAAAAATTTTTTTTTATGAATTAGATGGAATTTAAAAGTCAAATTAAAATTTACAATTAAAAGTAACAACATTATTTATTTATTTATTTTTAAACATACCTATATACAGTGTRTACATTAAAATCTAAGTTTCYGTGTCTGAAACCTTGATTTAAACTAAACACTAGAATTGGAAATAATTTCAATCAGGAATCCAAAACCCTATTATTGAATAACAGTAAAAATTTTAAACACTATTTATTTCGATCCAGTAAGTAATTTTTCAATAAAAAACTGAATAATGAAAATTCAGTTGAAATGTAGGTATGTAATCTTTGTACAAATATTATTTTGCTATCTTATATTGAGTACCTAGGTGTAACAGTTAAACATTTGTAGGTTTTAAATACATACCTATACAATAATACGGAAGCCAAAGTTTTCTCCATCGTTACTCGTCATTTTGGAAAATCAACCGTTTTTGTTATTCATCTTATTCTACAGAATATTACAGTAAATATATCGAACCAATGATTGTATTTGATTTTTAATCATAATATAGTTATTTAATATTGTTATACGAGGATGCAACAGTTGTTTAATATAATTATAACAAATTGTTTAGTATTCTGTTAGATTATTAATATTATAAAAAAATAAAATAATGCCGAAAATGTGTTACCCACTATTATTACCGTCACCTCAGTTCGTTAATTTTTCTCTCTACTTAATATATATTACACAGATGCCGATCTAGATGATGCCAATGTTTTTCTTATACGCCTTCCTTTGTAAAATTCGTTATTTGGMTTAGTCATTGATTGGTCAGTCACTGATTGCTCTTGATTTTTATTGATCTGCGTCATTTTTGATTTCATTCTCGACAACAAACTATTCAGATGACTTTGGATTTCGTCCACATTTGTCTGCTTAAACAACACGCACTCAATCAATCTCTATCAAAACAGTTAAAAATGTTTTACCTTTTTTGAAACAACTAAACTCCTGTTATTCGGTGTGAAACTTCTATGAACACTGTAGCGGACTGCTGTGGGTTCTGGATATCCGTAAATAATAGGCTGTGTCCGTGAGTATAAATAATTGTTGTTGGGCATAAAATGGCGTGAATACGTGTCATATTGAAATGACGCTGCGTAGTGTAAAGATATTAATACGAACGCGATTAACAGAAATTTCATTATAAAAGAAACAGAAAAAACTTTGACAAAATGGAAATATTGTGAACTCGAAACAGTGCCGAATGTGTTTGATGTATACCTAACGCTGTTTTTGACGTTCAAACATGCACATGTTTCTAGTGAAGTAATTATTTTTAGCAGACATTATTTGAACCATCGATTTTAAAATATGTATAACTGTATTTATTTATGTAAAAGCTATTCGATTAGGCACATTATACACGACTCAATTGTCATTGTACGTGCATGCTGTAACCATCATTCGACGTTATGTATAATGCAATATTTCATTACAACATCCAGTGCATTTTTTTTCAAACTTTCAAACCATTTTTTGTGTGTGGTTTTTTTAATTGTCGTTTTCGATTGTGATTTATTTTTTTTTGTTTTTAGTTTTTAAATATTTAAATATAAATTAAATATCTCATGTAATGGATATTTATGAATTATTGTATTGCTTATATCTGATCTTCGCAATATAATATACTTTCTGCAGTTGCGATTTATTTATAAAATATTACAAATTTTTATAACAAAAGGAACCATTTTGCAAGTTTAAAATATTAAGCACGCATAACATGTTGAGTAGGTATTATTTAAAGCTTAAATGTTCACACAGCATAATTATTAATCAAGATGCTAAAAGAATGAAAATACAATAACAATGAGGATACAATAAGAAAACTAGAATAAATACTCCAAGGCTAATGGAGGCGTACACGTCTAAAGTTTATAATCGACTCGAGTCGGTTACCCTCGTGGACGGATAAAATTATTCAACTAATAACCAGTAGTATATAAGTTCAAAATAATATTTTTTTAGAGTGAGTCAATGTCCTAACAGTGTCAACTCACATTTATAATATTTTAATTTATTCGTTACAACTACCTGTATCCACAAAATTGGTATTTACGATAATCAAGTACCTATATCTACATGAGTTGTCTTGTAAAATATAAATATTGTTTTACTACGGTAAAATAATATTGATTAAAATTATAAACATATTTAGGTTATTCRACGTAAAGTCACTATAAGTACACTGTACTATAGTGTAATCAATTTCAGACAATATTCAGTTGAACATTTACATAATAATCTACTTTCAGTCTTAAATATATACAAATATAATGAACCATTAAAAATTGTAAACATCTGTAATTGTTTTATTGGAACACACGGCTAAAAATAATAATAATAATAATAATAATATTTACCTTCTACTGCACATAAGCAAGTTCAAACRAATTATTATTWTTTATTATAGAATCGTTCAACACTAGATAAGTAGACGTAGCCATTTCGATTTTTAATTGACTATTGCACCGAAACATTGGGTTAYAAATAAACAAAACAAAAAGTGCGCCAATATACAATCACACTTTGAAAAATCTGGTTTGTACTAGTGTTCAGAGCTTCTTGGTTTTAAGTATTGTAGTCTCGAAAAATTCTAAGACGATATTATGCTTAATCCCAATATTTAAGATAAAAGTAAGTATACTTACAAATCTACATCAATACCTCATCATATATAACGCCTCCAGTCTTGGTCCAACAAACAGTTAAATTATTTAAATTATTGTATTTCTAAAATATTGATTTTCTTATGACAATTATATACTCGTAAATGGTATCCTATAGTTTTGTTGTTTTAAAAAAAATATGCATCAATGAGTTATTTTTCGAACAGATTTTTGAAAAGTTTTAGAGTAACTTAGATTGAAAATTGATAAAATATTTTAAGTATTATTAATTTTAAAATATGTAAGTAATAAGTATTGATGAGAAGTAATTAAATAATAAAACTAGTCACATTTATCACTATTAAAATAATTTTCTACACTTTATACTTATAGGTACCTAACCTATAGGATGAAGTTTTGATCGAGTTTGAATATTTCGTTCTTATATCATACATATGATAATGTATAATTTATTATCATACAATGACCGATAAAAATAAAAATAAAAATAATTTTCATAATATTTACAAAAGAAAATCATTTTTATCGCTTATAAGTAATTATGATTTTAATAAAAAGATGTATGATGAATAAATAACTATCAGATGTTATACATTTATTATTTATCGAATATTTTTATTTATTTATTCTAGTTTGTGTTYTGTATTTTGAATAAAATAATAATTTAAAGTCAAAAAATACTGGAAATGATGAACAATTTTTTATAATATTTTCTCATCAATATGTATGAGAAAATATGAGTATTTAACTTTTTGATTAATTAACAAATGATTTGAATTTTTATATAAACTTGTAATTTTAATCTRAATTTATTTTCAAAGGTTTATACAAACAAATTTATARCGAATATGTTTCTACTGAATTTCTAGAGTTTTTGTGAAAACATTTATTACAATTGTTTAGAGTATTAGTTATGAATATTCACAGCCCTATTATGCAAATGAATTGTGTATGTGAGTAAATGATTATACAAATGTTTTCATAATACTTAGCGATTGTTTTAAATGGTTGTAAAAATGTATTATTTTACCAATATTTGATGTCAGTTGCATCACTAAAAATTTAAAGAGTCAAAAGTWAGCTATAAGTGTCCCTTTGACATGATTTAGTGGCCTGCTATTATTGGTCCATTAAATTAATACATTTTTAATGCCCAACCCAACCTGATAATATTGATTATATATTTTGTATTTTATWATTGATTTAAATCTCAAAAATTATTTAAATTTTATAAAATATTATACACTATGAACTGTGTATGAAAATTATTGGTTTCTGTACAAATATTTATAAATGTATATAGTACTTACTACCTATGTTTTCGAGTGGAAAGAGAATATTTTTTTTCTAATGACATCTTCCGTTAAAAAAAAATTTTAATTCACCACCGATTAAAATATAATATTCCAATATTTCTGGGTATATTTTTAATTGAACATCATTTCTAATCATTTTATTCTCGGTTAAATTTCTTATGCTTTTTTTTTTGTTTAGCTTCTATAACCCATTGAGGGCCTTCGCTGCTTTTACTACTTGATATCATCTATCTCTGTCTACACACTTTTCTAATTTTGCTCCTGATGCACATTCTTCGAGGTCTGAATTGACTACGCCTATCCATCTTTGCCTTGGTCGTCCCTCTGATCTTTTCCCATCGATAGTGTCAATCATTACGTCTTGTATCATGTCAGTGGATCTTATGTCAGTAGATCTCCAGGCATGCCCCACCCATTCTAACCGTTTGCCTCATAAAAATGACTTKATATTGGGTTTTGAATATATTTGATAAGTTCTTCTATTACCTGAAGAATATATGCTTCAACATAAAATATAAGTAATCATYATGAAATGTGAATAAGACTGAGAATCGCGCGAAGACTATGGAAGTCGTGATGGTGTCATATTTGATTATCGCATTTAATGGCTTGGAAAATGTAAAATACTAAAATGATGATAATAGCCTTTGATGTCGTCTAAAAAWTTACATTCTTTAAAAATATCAAATAAACGCCCCACATTCGTTGTAGACCGACATGCGAAAAATAAATGGAAATTCATTGCGAACATATTACATGATAAAATAACCATCGCAAATTATATACCTAATAATGTTATCTTCATTCTAACACTTTTTATTATATAATGAAACGCAATTTATACAATAAATTATACGATCAGTTGTATATTATTAAATTTCAATAGTTCTTATTAGTAGGTATCTTCACGATTTAATTATTTCCTTATATCAGATAACGCATACGTATTTTTTGTCTAAAACAAAAATAGTTGGGCTTAACTCGTTTTAATCATCAAAATAAGCAGTGCGAAAGAGTTGCAATGAGCACGACGTAAAAATAAATAAATTTAATTTTGTTTTTTGTAACACACACTATAAACAGTGCTAATAAATTGCGAAATCTTCGAGTATTAATCATCATAATCATAAAGACAGCTAGGTAGTTCTATTTACTAAAAGCATAAAATGTACGACTTAATATGTTATATTATTGTATACATACTCGTAACATTGTGTTGACAAATAAGTAGGTGTTTTATGTATATTACGATGTACACATTATGTAGGTATAATTGTGCAAACAATGTTTYGGTGTCCTCGGATGTCAATTAATATTATTGTTTCAGACACGGGTGAAATTAAAACAAGACTCTTTGGCGATCAAAACCGTGAAATCTACAGCCAAGATTACCGTGTTTACGGAGCTAGTTGGACGGGTTCCAATTTCTCTTAATGAATTAAATCCTACCATTAATGCATTTAGATCCGTATTGATTTTTAAAAGCCGAAAAGGTTTTTTTTTTTTAAGTCTTAATACAGGTTTTCGGACAATATAAAATCTAGTTAAGTACTATTTACACCGTCGTTTTCCACATTATTTGCTTTGCTATTACACGCTGAGATKCTTCGATGCGAAAAAAATGTTATTAAAAGAGATAAATATTTAACAGAAATAGCAGAAATCCACGACTTTCGAATGTCAACAGTGCAATAACCTGACGGAATAGAGTAAATTGCGACCGGATTTGGTGTTACAAAACCTTTCTAATAGACATTCAGATTTCATGTTTTAAAACATTTCAATGAACCTACATAAATTAAAATGTTCGCTCGCTACAAATCGCTGATGGGGTAAATTATATAAAGTACAATATACTTACCCATTTTCGTATATTCAATAATAAATATTGAGCAATTGTTGCTTTTATATTCACTTAAACATCAATTAGGAAGGTAATGAACAATGCGTGAGGTTTGTATAATATATTTCAAATTCCTAATAATAACAATGTTGATAATTACTATCGAAGGAATTTAATGATTCGAAATATATTTCATGCAAAAATGTTCATTGTGCCCCTAATTGTTTTTATTCGATATATTAAAAAAAAAAATTTTAAAATACTGCTGTTGCATATTATTATAGTGAGACAACAAGAATTTTTTTAGTTTACTTAACAAACAAATACTGTCAACTGTTGTTTTGGTCAATTTTACGCATTTATGTTTATTTTATTTCACACGATACTACGAACAATTATTATTAATAATATTAACGTAATTGATTTAAGACACTTAGTCTTTACTCCTTAATAG